AGTGTCCTTATCAAGATCCCACAAAATTCCCAATACTTTCGTGACACCAGTACTATTACTATTAGAAACATACTTACATTTTACATTACTCTCCCAGTTTCTTAAAGTTAAAGCAACCCCGTGACAAAATATCTTTTGCATTTACAATAAAATTCTTCCTGCTCCTCAATATTTGCAACACCAGAAACACAATTATCTACGTAAAAAGAATGTTTCAGTTTTTGTGCTATAGCATCAAATTCAGATGGTACATTATCTAATAAATGTGTAATTGAGGCTGCTAATAAAAATGGACTCGACTTTAACCCAAATACTACTCTGCGATGTCGGTAAACAATCTGTTCACTCTCGGACGGATAAAAAAACCGCAAGAAATCTCTATGTTGAGGGGCTATACTTAGCATCAGAAATGCTTTCTCAATATCTGAAGATAATCCTATTGGATGAATTCGAAACCTATCAAGTATCTCTGGAATTATTTCTAGTAAGTTCGGACCCTTATACAAAAGGTCATTCAAAGAGCATTTACCACTTTCTCGGGCTGACGCGTCAAAGACAGGTCTGATTTTTGTAGTGGTACTGTCCTTAATTACTGGCCGATGAGGTAAAAAATGTCCCGTCTCAATATTATCAGTTACCTTTTCAATTATATTCAATTTTCTCCCATTCCCGGAAAATCGTAGTATATTCTTCTAAAAATGCTTTATCTTGTGCTCGCTGGCACATCCTTTTATGCCGCTTCCAAGTTAAATCTTTATTTGTCGGCAAATCGGCCACATCAGATTTAAAAGGTAAACAAAGTTCATATCTACCGTCTGAAAGAATTTTCACATTATTTTTAAACTCTTCCAAAACTCTAGAATGTTCTAAATTCTTTCTATTATTTTCAATGGGATCTGAAATACCTATGGATTCTAAAGACCACAAAATCTTTTATCGAATAATTACTAACATACAACGAAATTGCATTCAAAACAGTATCATCATTGCTATCTCCAAATGACTCATGCTTCCCAGTTAACACATGTCCCAAACAAGTGTCAATCAAAAATAACCCTGACTCCAACCGAACAGATTTATTAGTAAATAAAGCGCCCACAATATCCGCTCCCAAAAGCAGACCGATCTCACGATCAGAAGAACCCAAATCAGACAAACTGACGCCTCTATCTTTCAGTTCATTAAGAATTTTACTATCGTTCACTTTTGGCACTGTGCCACAAATTTTGCTCTCGGAAAGTGCTTCGATTTGAAAGGAGAAAGTTTCATCTAATGCCGAAATCAACAAATTATAAACATCGTGAATCTGCGTTCGCGTTTCTCTTCCACCGAATAACGAATGCTTCAATTTAATTTGCCTTAATGGTTTTAAATTTAAATTCTCTACTAATTTTTTACTGACATACGAATGCTGAGAACCTGTATCCAGTAATGTGCGTACTTTAAGCTCAACATTCTTAAATTTAATTTTAACTATTAGAGTCATTAAATAAACATTTTCTATTTTACAGTTATTAGTTAATGTACTGGTTTCAGTTACGTCCCTTCTAGACTTTTCATTTGCGCCTTTTTTCTTGGCGATTGGGACACATTAAAGAATGGTGATTTTTATTACAGTACATGCTAGAACTTTTTACTCGACATGTTTTACAAGTGTGTCCAAATCTGAAACATCCAAAACAGGCCCCTTTTTTTAATTAATATATTTTTCTTAGCTTCTAATGTCATATTTCTAGCAGAAAAACATTCTTTAGTTGGGTGCCGTTTTTCACAAAAGAGACAGTTAAAATTGCGCTTACCTGGGCTCTCAGAATTTGATGTACTTACTAACGCAGCTGCGGTGGCGAAATCTAAATTTTTATTTAGTGTATCCTTTTTCTTAGAAATATGATTAGAACCAAACCCAGTGCGGGCTAACACGACCATCTCTTCTCCTTTCACTTCTTGTTTCAGAAAATTCATCAAATTTTCAAGGCATCGGTCATCAGGCTGAGGTGCTTCTTTTAAATTTCTGTTTCTCTCCCAAGCAATTAATACTTCTTCGGGCAGGCAGGATTCAACTAAAGGCGTTAAGAAATCACCATACTTCTCTTGCGTTCTTCCAAGACTTTCTAAAGCTCTAATCTTGGTTTCTAAATCATCGTAGAGAGTGGGAAGATCCGTCTTCACACACGTCCACTGCTTGCATTACGCATAACCATGCTTAGAAGATCTCTGACGTATATCTGTACAAGTAAGTCTTCTCTTCCAAACCTCTCTCGAAGCTGGGCGATTGCTTTCGGATAATTCGACGCCGTTGCCGGAAAGCTCTCCACTACCCGTGCGGCTTTGGACTGAGGAACAACTGCTTGCAGGAGGTACTGGAATTTATCTTCATCTGGAATCGTCGGATCTTCATGGATCTTCGAAAACTGGCTCCAAAACGTCAAAAATTCTTTTGCTTCGCCGTTGAATTTCTTTAGTTCGATCTTCGGCAGTTTAAATTTGCGCTTCTCTGGTAATTCAGTAGGTAAAGGATTCTTCGACAGCTTTTCGATTTGAGAACACAGTTCAAAATATTTATCTCTATAAGGCTCAGACGAAATAAAATCTTCTTCATATAGCTTTTCAGCTTCTTTAGATTGTAGAATTAGCGACGTTACTTCCTTTTGGCAAATTTCAAGTCGATTAAACTTGTCTCTAAGCTGTTGTTCCAGAATCGAAAGTAGCTTCAAATCAGGAATATCTGATTTCAGTTCTGCATCAATTTTGTTTGCACATGTGGTAAAGGAAGTTCTTAGACATTTTCTTTCGGTTTTCAGCTGTGTAAGCTCCATTTTCAATTTATTTTAGCTGTTATCGCGCCCCACGTCTTGGCGCCACAATGTTATGTTACGTAAGGCGTTACGTTCGAACAATGGCTAGCTCAGAAGGGATTCGTAAGTCATCTACCCGATGAATTAACAGCTATCTTGTCATAAATGGAGTACTTCATTTAAACTTAAGCAAAAAGCTTTTTTTAAACATAAAGACAAGTTAAAAGAATATAAAATATTTATCTAGCTACAATATCTATCTAGCCACATCATGCAAACATCGTTCTTAGCTAACTAAACCGGAACTGTTCGTTTTCCTCTGGCGTCCCATGACATCAGTCTCTATCTGGCTTTTTATTCGCTGGCATAGTGATGCCATTCCCAACAATGGACTTAGTGCCTGGACAGGCAAAGACTTTTAGATTTATTTGTACAAAGTGTAAATAATTGAACTCGCCACGCCTACACCATTGTGGATCCAACCATATTGGCTAGTACCAGTCACATGGTACTCATACCGTGATTTCTCAAGAATTAGATATTATTATCTCGAATCTCTCGCTAAGCAGTTTTATATTCTTCAGTCAGGACTCAGATGATTTTCATGACTAAAATTTTATTATGTTAGTGTACGCCATCTTGACATGCCACCTCTTCCAAATTAATTTTTTAATTTAAAGCTCTGATTGTCTGATCTCTGACTCTTATTTTCACCTTCGGGTGAGTGGCGTGAAGCGCCCTAAATTTGTTTTTTCTACAACCATGAATGGCCGTATGGCAAGTTAGAATGATCGTTTAAACTCTAAGGAGTTGATGCCTGTAGTGAACGCAAAGCATAAGCATAGACTTTTTTTCTCTGGGAAAATCCATGGGTCTGGAGGTGGATGAGTGAGATGTGAACGAACTCGTCGAGGAACAGTCTCAGGAGCTGACAACCGAGGAGTTACACGATCTATATTCGCAGCAGCATACGGTGGTTCAACGAAAAATTAATTTAGAAGAGGAGCCAGAGATGGAGGATGTTATCTCTACAAGAGATATAAAGGAGATCTTGGGAATGTGGGAGAAAGTTGTAGAGTTCGTGGAATAATTATCACCTCGAAAAAGTTGCAACTGGGTGTGCATCGGAGTTGTTCAAGCGAAACTTGCCTAACTCATTTCTGCAATAGCCTGAAAGGAGGAAGAAACAAACCTTTCCTTGGACAGTTTTTTTAAACGATCTGCAGGTGAAAATGAGCAAAGCATGACCAAAAAGCGAAGACTGGTGACAAAAATTAAGTGCTTCCGTAAGCACTTCACTTTTTCTTTTAATTATGTTTTTATAGAATATGTGTTTGTTATTTATAAATAAATGTTTCTTGTAAATACATTTTTCTTATTCAAAAACACTTAACAAAAACAACTGAGGTGGTGTTTTGGGAGCTGGAACGGATTAATGGCATTTCAATTAATTTCAATGGGGAAAATTGCTTTGAGATGCGAGCAGTTTGACATACGAGCAAGGTTATGGAATGAATTAAACTCGTATGTCGAGGTACCACTGTATATGAAAATGGTAGCATTGTTTGACTGAAGGATTGTTGTGAGTGTGGTTGTTTGAAGAATGGTTATGTGTATGGTTGCCAGAATTTGGCACATTCTGAAAATTTGACCTTACTTCTTTAAGGTTATTGTAATAATATATAAGTACTCTAAACATATTAATTATTCAGAATGAAATATACTTTTATTTTGCTGCTGTTTGTGAGAAAAGTTTAGTTAGTGTCCTCCAAAAATTTGTTCTTAGACAGCTGGCCTTGTTGCCTAGTCTTGGAAATAGCCATGATTATCACAGCTCCTGTCTGCTGTGGCCAAATTAATGAACACCATTGCATCCTACATATGCAGGAATAATATAAGCTTGAAGGAAGCATTGGTAATATTAGTAATATAGGTAATCTTGTCGTAAGTGGTCTGCCATTTTTAAATCTGTGTAAAATGTATATATGCTGTTAATATGCTGTTTCTATTTTATAAACATATCACTTCATATTAAAAATGTATTCTTATTTCACTTACATTCTCAACTATGCATAGTTACAAATGTGGGCTGTATAGTACAAACAGACCCATACTTAAATGTATTCAAAATTTTTATATGCTGTTACAATTACACTTATTTTATTAACTTACATTATATTCATATTTACATATATATATATATTTTCATTTATAGACTAAATAAGGTAAATTGAGAACAGTAGACTGCATACGACAAGAATACCGAATAGTGTTCGTAAACTAAGAGATGATGCCAGACATTTTCTTCAAGGTTAAATTGGTAAGACTTTTGAGAGCAATATATACTTAAATTTAAATAGTGCTTGTTTTAGTTCCTATATCAGCTTTTTAATTTGTGATTAACGGGTTAGTTTTATAAGAAAAGGATGAAGAGGCATTTTTCAAAACAATTAAACTATGAACTTCAAAATATCCAAAAGTAGCTTAAATTTTTTTACTAGGATTGGATTTGTAAAAATTATTTTCTTATTTTTTTTTTAAGTGTAGAATAAAATTTATTTTTAAATTTAATTTATTTAATTCATATTTTAAACAGTAAATAAAATTCTTTTCTTGTCTTTTTTTTAGCACGGAATAAAATTTATTTTTAAATTCAATTTATTTAATTCATATTTTAACTTAAGTAAGCAAAAGGAATGTTGTCTTGAACAGCCAAACTATTCTATTAGGTTCAGAATTGTGTTTTAAACTATAAATAATAATAATATTTTATGAAATCTCTAGTTTCTAACACTGTATAATGTGTGTGTGCGTTGTTTATTTTTTAAACAGCATGCTGTACTTTTTATTTAAAATAGTGCAGAACTAATTAAATTGTTTTGATATATATCTGATTTTATTATGCATGCATTTGGAATAATACAGCATTAAAGTCTGCACTATCCAGAATTTATTTTTAATTTCAACTGAGAAATTTGTTAGAAAAAGCAAATTATAATGCACTTATGTTAATTAATATATTTATTAGTAATAAAAGTATATGGAATTTTTGAATGATTTATTTTTTTAACCTTGTGTTAAAATTTATTTACTGTAATTAAAATTTTTTTCTTTTAAATGTTTCAAACTACATTAGGTGAAGCAATGAAGGAATGTAATGTAAAGTTTTCTCATGTTTTTTGTTCTCCATCATTGCGATGTATAGAGACGTGCACTAATGTATTAAAAGGTAAATATTTGACTTTTAAAATATGAATAATCATTTAAATTTGATAAAATGTAATCTACTTACTATTTAACCCTTTCAGTCCTAATGGGCACATATGTGCCAGAGATTAGATTTCATGGCCTATTGTGTAAATAGAGCCCACTTTTAAATGTATTTTTGCATTTGCAGTATTTTTAAGGAATTGGGGAACAAATGTATGACTGAAAAAACCTGACAACATTTTTAAATTGCAAATGGCATACTTATGTTTTTAAGCACGCCAATTACTCAAATTTTAATTTGTCATTTTTTTAAAATTATATCTATGACATGTTTAGTGTGAAATAGTTCTTATTGTCTTATTAAGTAGTGATTTTAACTTTTTAATGTCAGATTTAAGAAATTTTGTATTCATTCTTTTTGTGGGATATATTGTCCCAATCGTATTGAACAGTGGGTTACAATGTCCCATCAGTGATCAAATTACTACATGCTGATATACATGTTTATGTTTATGAAACATATATGAAAATTTTTGTTGTATTTGAACTGGTGCATGTGGCAGAGTTTACGTTTAGTAATATTCACTTTATATATTACCACAAATTTTAGTTTTCTTTTCTGAGGAAGGATAATATCCTAGACGATTGGGACAAATAGTTGCAGTTGACAATACGATTAGGCCATATTGTCCCAGGAGATTTCCAGGTAACAGGAAAAGTTAAGACTTTAAATTCATATTACACTTCTTTTAGAATATCAACATTCAATTAAACTACTTTTTATAGTTTAATTTCAATCATGCAAAAGTTGGGTCAAAAGGTTTAAATAAAAAATACTTTTTTATATTAACTATTTTATCAGTGACTGGTAAAAATTAATGATGAGTTACATATTTAGAGCTGAAAATAACTCGCTGTCATGCAACATGTTATTTGTGTATTATTTGAATTAGTTTATAAATTAAGACAATGTGTTATATAATTTCATTTTTGTATCTGCATAATGAAGGTATGCTTTCACTTTAGTTTCTTAAAAAGTAAGGGAAAAATAAATAGTTTACATTTGCATTACTCATGGGGGGGGAGAATGAAAACTGAATGTTAATTTTGAAAATTGGTGAACTGATAGTATTCAAAATTGCATAAAGGTAGGCTCAGTTTCGCATGGATTTTGAGTAAGTGACATTAATTCATTAATAATTTTGTTTTAATTAATAAATAAAATGTTAATTCATAACAAATAAATGTATATATTGTAATTAATAAAAATATATAATTTTAATTAATAATATTTTTATGAAAATTTTGATTTGATCTGATTTTTAAACCCCATTGAAAAGTTACTAATTCACTGGTAGGTAAATTTTACATTCATCTAATGCGCAAAAGGCGACAGCCATTTTGAAAATAATGGTACATTAAGAGTTCCATCAAAGAGCAATCAACCAGTACAATTAAAAGCAAGAAACATCAGTAATAAAATACTTATCTTTTTTCTAGAAATCCTTCATTTTTGTGCATTGCTGACCCCATGTCCATGTTTTGCTTTAAAAAAAAATCAAAGAATTGCACAAACTGGGCGTTGTGCAAAGTTAGAACACTTGTGGTATGTGCATATCTGGATTGCCGCTTTCTGGCAGCATTGTGGATTGCCACATATTGCTTTGCCTCATTAATATTTTTTGGTACTTTACATTGGAGGAGTTAATCAGAAAGTATCAAATAATATACATATTTTATTCATCATAATAATCATAAATAAGTATATGAAATTCTATTATTAACGATTCCCTTTTCTTGATATTTTGATTGTCTGCAATTAATCTGATTTCAGCATTACCCTTTAATTATTAACAACCTTTTTTTGGTTGTTTGCCTCCATCTGTTGAATATTGTCATCCTGCTAAACAAAAAAGGGCTTCTTACTTTTGTGTATACAGTACAAAGTCTTTAATCCTGACTCGTCAGGACTTAGGCAGTTTCGGATTAGGGGTTTTTCCGGAGGAAGCACTTCCACAGAGAACCCAGTAAATGTAAACATCGCCAACTTTGGCGATAATAGTTCAAACCTGGTAACCCAGGGGATTTATCCTATTCGCTTGTCTTGCATTCATTTTGTTGAATTATCACTGTTGTCGTTCGCATTTGCAGATTTATGTTATTCTTCTCTTATTTATTATTATTTTTTCTGAATTTTTTAACAACGAATAGATAGAAATATTTTTGTAGATAGGTGCCGGTTCTCGGTTCGGGATGAAAGGAGGTGCGAATGCTAATTTGTAACACGGCTGTTCCAAAGCCGCCTGAAATTATCTTCAGGGGGCTTTGGGTGTTCACATTCTTAGTTCTTAACAGCTCTAAGAACCATGAGGTTTCCAACCTCTAAAATAATTTGTTTCCGTAGGCCACAAAAATGTATATGTGCATTTTAAATAATTAAGTAATGCTTTTATTTTTATTATTGGTATTGTCATCTAAAATTAGAGAATAAATCAATTTTTATGGCGTAAAATTTTAACAAGATAATATATTGTTAATGCTTTTCTAACAATAACCTTTCAGCGAATGGCAGGTGTGACATAATAGATGATTAAATTGAAATAAAAATATTATTGATTATCTAAGATGACAGAATAGTTTGGCATCATCCCATTGTCATCAAAATTAGCAAACCCTGCTGGTGTAAGGAATATATTGTTTCTATGTGTTAACTGGAATTGAAGACAAATTTTTTCATTTAACCAGGTAATTTCAGTACATTATACTAATTATATTTTTTAAATGAATTTTTATTTCCGTTATAAATGTTTATATATTGTCTTATGCCTTAATATATTCTTTCTGTGCTAACTTGATCCGTATGTCACTTTAAACCGGTTAGTTTTACATCTACATGCTTATTATCTGTAAATTTTTACTACCATATGCTTAATATATTGTTTTGTCTGCTAACTTGAATTTACGTGCACTAAAAATCATGTTTACGGCTCGGCTCATCGTCGATGAACTGCGAGCTTGGTGAGTAAAAATGCAACGGCGCCAATGGGTTCTTTCCCGAAGCGCCAACGGGTTCTCTGTGGATGAAAACCCTTTCCGGATTATAGATCATCAATTTAAATCTGGTAAGATGGCATGCAGAAATTATAAAATTAAAAATATGAAACCGTAATTTATGAAATAAAAGAGCAATTATGATCTAAAGTGTATCAAAATTTACAAAAAAAAGCTTAATATTTGTTTACTTTATTAAACATTTATTTCAATGTAAGTTGTTTAAGTTGCTTTGTTTTATGTGCTAATACTTTCTCTTTAATTCTATAAACAGACATAATTTCTTGTTCAGTTACAAAGTTCCGCTGTTCAAGTCCTGTAATTGCTGTGCCGAGAATGCTGACTAACTTGTCAATCGAAATTTTTTTCGTTTTCACTAACCTCTCTGTCACTTTCTTCATGCCTTTATCCATTTATTGCAGCAATTCCACTTTTTGTTTGATGGACATCGGAACATGCTTTCGCTTTGTGGATCCTTTGACAGCTCCAGAATCGAAAACTCTTTTTGGCATAATTGAAAGTTCAAGCTTACTTTTTATAATATTATTAATTGCTCTAACAGTCTGCAAAAAATAATAAGCCGGATCCAGTTAGAAGATTAAGGAACAATGCAATCTGCAACATTAACCGAGATAGATAATTTTAGCCTAGTTTATACCATCCGTTATACATTAAAAGTGCTTTGCTGTTGCACAAGTATCATTACTGTGCGCATAAAGCTAAAGAAATCTACTATGGTGTCCCTTGGCACCATGTGTGTTAACGTATTATGTGCATGCGTAAATGCATATCCGCAGAAAGTTTGTAGCTTTGAGGTCCAGATTAAAGACTTTGTGTACTTTTTAAAGTATGTTCTTCATCAATCTTTGCTTACTCACGAATTTAATTATTACAAAGTGTTTGCCATTGACAGCAAATGATTTGCCATGCGTATTGATGATGCCTTTAGAAACTATTGTTTTGCCATTAAAAAAGACATTCTATTAATGGATATAACATAAATAATGTTTTCATCTTTCCATTTCATCCTTCTGTGAGTTACAAAATTGCTCAGATTTCTGCAATTAAACTTTCAGATCATTTTCTCATCTATCAACAAAATTCATTGTTTGATTCTTTAACATTCTTTTTCTGATTTCAGTTTTTGGGAAACATATAAAGTAAAAGATCATTAAAATTCCTTATCAAGAAATAAGAATCTTATGTGCTATACTTAGTCACAATTTTGATTTTGGTTTTACAAAAATTATCCATAAATTTTTATTTGGTGAATTAGATTTACATGAAGTTTTCAGATTTACAAAAATTCATCTTCTTTAATTAATGAAAATAATTCCAATCCATTTCTTTCTAACACTTTCAGAACTCAGATATGTTAGTTTTTCCTTTTTTTTTTTATTTATTTATTTTTTTTTTTTTTTACTTTCAACAGATGGCATTGTGCTCATTTTTCATTTGCTCTGCCTGTTGTTTGTAATAAATAATTGCTCTTCTCGCATCTTTTGCAAAATTGTTTTCTCCCTTGAGGAAGAAAACCTGTGGGTGATTACTGTCAAATTGACATAGTTCTACTCCAAATCTGTGCTTTTTTGCCAATTATACATTAGTGTTTTAAATAATTTTAAAGTAATTTCTATGAACTGAGTATGGGAAACTGATCGCTAAACTTTCTAATTGATGCTAGGCATAACAATTTACAAATTCCCATTTCATAAATTTAATGAACTATGTATAATCAGATAATAAAACAACACTGAATGTGTCGGTCGCAAAGGCTGAGGGTATAATCACAAGCAGAATGCAGATTTATTTCAAATTACCACAATATCTTTGTACCAGCCAAAATTCCATTTAGTAATTAATATAAAAGTAACTATTTATAATGCTTTCTTCTTGTTTCAAACTTTTTCAGAAACTATGTTTCTTAAAATTTCTTTAGCACGAGAAACATATTCTTTTAAAAGGTAT